TTTTAATTATGCAAGCAAATTTGCTTGCATTACAATTTAAGAAATAATATTTTTATTTATTATTAATTTTAGTTTTTTAAAAAAAATAATAATAAATAAATAAATAAATCTTAATTTTTAAAAAATATTAATATTAATTATTATATATTTTTGTAATTATTTAAAATTTTAACAAGATTTATTATAAAATTATTAAATTTATAATAAAAATTTTTAAATATTTTTTTAATTTAATTTTGTATTTTCAATATTTTTTATATATAGAAAAAATAATTGACAAATTTTTTGATAATTGTTAAAATTGAATTTTTATTTAAAAAAAATAATATTTTATTTCTTTTAATAAACAATAAAAAAATTTTAATTAAATCTGTAGGTCAATAATATAGTGAATAATACTTTTAGATCTTTAAATATATACTTTTAGTTTAATATTTACAAAGAACAAAATGTATATTTATCTTTATATATGGATTTACTGAATATTCTACATATGTCATATCCAATATTCCTTAATTATACATAATTTTAATTAATCTATATAAAGATAGAATCTTTGATTTTTCTGATAATTATGAATTAAAAAACAGATTAAAATATAAAAGATTACATGAAAAAAGACTTTTGATTTAATTTTGATAAAAGCTTATTAACTTTAATTCAAATTGGCAATAGAAAACTCTATTATATAATTCAAAGAGATTAATTTTAAATCAATTTATTCCAATATGAAACCTATAAATCTATTTCAATTATAATATTTTATAGAACTTAAACATATAACTAAAAAGTAAAGTATTAACTATAAGTAATAAAAATATAAACAAAAATTATTAAACCAATTATATTTAGTAAGGGTTATATAAGATAAATTGAAATCTAAACAAGAATACTATTTTCACAAGTGATAAAAATAGTAATATTATGGTATATTTCAAGAATTAATAATAACAGATAATTGATATTATTAGAATTAATTTTTATAATATTATTTTATATAAAATTTTTTTGATAATTAATTAAAAAATATAATCAAACTAATAGAAAAAATAGATTTAAACTAGTGATAGAACTTTCTCTCTCCTGTATAAGTTTCACTTGGATATGAATCTATTTATATGATATAAAGTTGACTAATCAAAATAGTTGAATTGATTCAAGGAAAACCAGTAATATTAGAAATGATATTTATTAAATAATATTAATTTATATTTAGAATAGTAATAATTTAGCTTATAAAGATGTTTAATTTAATAATAAAATATTAATTATCAATAAAATCTTATATTTAATACTCTTAACCAATTAAAAAAAAATTTTTTTTAATTAAATTTTTAATTAAAATTATAATTTTTATAAATACTTTATTGTCAATCAAATTTTTTAAGGAATTATTAAAGTATATAGATTTATTAAACAAATTAATATTAAGACTTCTAACAAGTCAAGTCAAATCAGCTCTAAAGTTTTTTTTAAATATGGATTATATAATAGAGTATATATTTATCAAATTTTACAATATTATTTATATTATACAAGTTTATGTAAGCCTATATGAGTCATGAAATGAGTATTTTTTTGAAGCCCTAATTAATAAAAAATTATGTACAGGAAAATGTTTTTTTTTAACTTTATATATCTAAAATTATATCAAAAATTTTATGTTTTTTTAAAAATTTAAAAAAACGAAATACTGTATACTAAAGCTCAAGGTTAATTTTATTTTACATAAATTCTTATTTATTAAATTTTCCAATAAAGTAAAATTGGATTCAATCTAAAAGTTTATACCAAAAAATTTTTTATTAATTTATTAATTTTAAATAAAACTATTTAAAAATATTACAAAGAAATATCTATATACATTGTATATAGGTGAAATTATTTTTTGAATTTTAATAATACACAATATACTGTATATTGTTTTTAAAATTTTGATATTACGAAATTTTTATTTTTATTATCACTCAATTTTTTTAAAATTTTAATTCTCTTGCCAATTCCATTTTTGTTTCAACCTTATCATTCAACAATAAGTTAAATTAATTTAGTTTGATTTTGAAATATGCTATAAATTTGTAGATTTTGCATAATAACGTGGTTTCATATTAATGCATTGTTAAAAAATAATAATACATACATTTGCCATAAATAAATCTCCATTCGTTATTTGCTTTTTCATAAAAAATATTTTTATAAATTAATCCATTCACTTGTACAGTATATCAAACATTTCCTATACCCCTTACGCTTTCGAAATTTTCAATTCAAACATTTAGAATTTGGTGTTATATAGAATAGGGTTGAGAAATAATGATAAATAGCCGCTTAAGTCAGGTCAACATTGCAAGGCTTTTGTTTCCATATTAGAAAAAGGGAAAAGCGTCTAAAAATGGTCACTAAACATGAGTTTGATTGTGGAAACTGGTTGTGAAGATTTGATGTGGCTTGTGATTAGGTATGAGAATGGGATACTCTCTGTAGTGACGTTAACTGAATATATCACTGTGTAATAGCATATGTCAGATAATGCATTTGGTATCCGTCACGTAGACGACTGAGCATTTAAAAATAAGTGTTAAATTGGATTTCTTAATTTCTTACGTAAAAGATCTTCACTCTCCAGGCTTCATATTACAAAGTAAGTTTATCATCGATTCTCTCGATAATTTATTATTTCCATGAGTGACTCACATGAAGGCTTATTTGGATTATGAAAGAAAATGAGGATAAAACAAATCAAACCTGAAGACAGAAAAAAGAAGTCGGCAAATGACCCGGTAAATATGTTATGATTGCAATTTTTGAGAAACGCATAGTTCTTACCATTGAAATGATTTACAATAAAGTCACGTATGTGGAATCCAAACTGGGCCAACCCGCGAACTGAAAGTGAGTTAGAAATGTGCTTAGCATGGGACACTGAAGAAGGATTGAGTTCGGAAAGTTCTGGTCCAAGTTGGATCACTGATGTAAATAAGGTGAGAGAAAAACTTGATCCAAAAGAGGCTAGAAGAATCGGCTTTCCTACAGCTTCTACAAAGATGCAGAATAAAAGATCCGTTGACAGCAGAGGTGAGTTTATTCAAGAAAATGAAGAAGTTTCTTACCAGATCAAATCGGCGACTTCTCCAAAGACACGGAGTAAAAGGATGGATAGTAACATCGAGTGTTCCATTCAAGATAGTGGTAAGGCATTACTAGCACAAGGAGTTAAAGAATCAACCGTTGTTAAAGACGAAAATGAAGTTCAAATGATGCAAGCTGCTAAGGCTAAGTCTGTAGAGGTTGTTCCGGATTGGATGAATCGTAACAAGAAAGCAGCCCAAGAACTGTCATTAGATGATATAACCGATCATGTGGGAGAACTACAGGTATCGACACCTGATAAGGACGCGAGATCGAATCCTCCAGAAATGACGCCAGTCATCAGGTTGTTTTTGAACCAAGGTGACAACCAGGTAATTACTACGACATTCTGTAATAGTGCTTCATTTTTGTTTGTTGATTGTATTGTATGCACATCTTTTTAGGGTTGGAAATGGATGAAAACCTTGTAAATAAAAATTAGTATGAGACTTTAGGATGGAAAAAATGATTTCCATGACTGAATAAGATATTAAATATATTCTTCTAAATCATAAGCGAACCGGTCGAAGAAGCTGCCCAACAGAAAAAAGAGTCTATTCTAATTAATACCGAAAGCGAAAGTTCAAGTATATCGACTCAAAAGGCTCATTCATTGAAAAAAGTATCGAGATTCCAGGAGGAGCTTGAAAGTATTGATTGGACAAAATTGAGCTCAACAGAATCTCCTCAAGTTCAAAGGTTCTGACATGTTGCTAGATAACGTATATATATTTTTTCCTTCCGTGTAGATGCTATAATTTATGAAAAAATTTTCAAACAGGCTTCCAAATGTTCTTTACAATGCGTCCAATGATTCGAATATACCATCAAAGACTATGAATGGTGTAAATGACGAACCTTTGATTATACTAGATGATCCGTCACTCTCTTTCGGGTAAAATGACTATTATTGTTATCCTGTATGCACACGATTTTAGAATAAAAATCTTAAAAAAAGAATGAAATCAGCATATGTCCAACGGCATCCTCAAGCTCGTTATCAAGAATGGAGGAAATGTTGATCAATCTTGACGAGAAACCTAATAAATTGTTTTCAGTTGAAGACATACGAGCCGTCCGCGAACCGAGAACGTTCACAAAAGAAAGGAAAAAAAGGCAAGATTCACATTACAGAAACATAACTAGTTTATTGCATATACCTAATTATATTCCAATATATATTCAGAAACCTTTACTCGATTTGCGAGAATTTGATCCGCTATTTTCACAATGAATGCAATGAACCAGTTTGTATTTTAATACTTGGCATTTCAAAAAAAAACAACTTCTTATTTGATTAATTGATAATATCAATCATATTATAGATTCCGAAGACTCGGCTTTTATAATCTTATTTTCATGCTACTTGAGGACTGCACATCAACGATATCATTGCGTTGTTATTGTTATACCAAATTAATCCATAGTATCATTCCAAAGTATACTTTTGTTATTATTTGATAATTGTAAATAGATGAGTAAACATGCTGATTTTAAAAAACAAAAAAAGTAACTGAATAAATTCTGAATTTCCTAAAAACGTTTTTTTTACCTAAAGTTACCAGACTGCGTATTTAAATGCGTTTCCATACAGACATTGTTTCTCTTCCTTGACGACCTGGAAAACTTTTACAATTTTTATCTAGGTGTTCTAGTGTAAAATTTTTTCCTAGAAGCTCCTGGTAACTGACAAATTTGGAAATTCTGAATCAGATTCATTCATTTACGATACGTTGGGATAACAAAATACCATAATATCATACATGCTTTCGCTAACGGCAAATGGTGGCCCATCAGTGTGATTACTGATTGGATACATCAACGCAATTAGAATCCCACCCGGAGAAATAATCTCGGACATTCTCGTGCCCCATGATTGACGAAGAGTTGGTGGCAAAGCGCACAGGAATCTTTTATGTATTTATTACAAATTCTCACCAATCGGATAATGCAAAAAGTAGTCAAGCAAATTGATTCCGTCATTCTTACGTGTAATCATAGACCAACTGAAATTTTCCTTCCGAAATTTCAAAGTTGAAGAAATCGCCTGCTTGAAAAGTCGTTGTTTCTTCAGAAAATTTAAGCTCGGCCTGAATCTTTATGAAAATTTAAAATCATCGATTGTGTCGTAATTAGTCAATTAAAACTTCCAAAAAAGCACCATTTTAGCTTCATCAATGACAGTCTCGCTCAAATCCAATCCAGTCATGTGTCTTTTTTTGTTTGCAAAATAAAACACGTCGTATCCCTAAACTCATATAACTCAATGTTAATATAAAATTATTTTATAGTTCGAAAAACATTGTTTTCTTTCATATAACTAATATCATTACTTTTCCACAACCGGGAACCAAGCCACGGCCATCTGGTAATGGAAATTTCTTTTCTTCGATCAATTCTCTGAGCGCCGGTGAGACCTCGCCTTTATCCCACACTGCTTTCTGATGTTACATGTTATTTTAAGGCGGAAAATAAAAATAAAAAGTTTTTGTCCGTAGCAAAAAACGTATAAAAATATACGACAAAGTGAAATTTTGGAAATTTACCTTCATTTTATATAATTCATCCCATCCTAAAGAACAAACAACATTTGGTCAGTGGTGACATTTATCAGTCAAATGGTTTTCAAAAGAATTTGATGAATTCCAACCAGAGCTCCCATGTTTTGCAATAATATCTTGCATAATGTTAACTTGTTGTGGCTGCATAGACTGATTATTCTCCTCATTTTGTGTTTGTGAACTTTGCTGAGTCGATGAATCCATTACGAATAAAACGTAAAAAAAATTGATTTTCGTTAGCAAAATTTGATAATTCCTAAATTTGATTTGCTGTTTCTTCTGCCGATAAATAGTACCCTAGCCATGGCAAAAAACGAGGTGTCGGTCATGTGACTTCCGACCATTCCGACCTGATGATATACGGTTTTGAAGTTTTTCTAATTACTTAATTACTTTATTTAATTATTTAAATTAACTTAATGCGAAAACATAATTATAATAAAAATAGTAATTTAATTATTTTATATGTAATAAGTAGGGATCCGTATGCACGATCCGACGGATGATCGACATCGTGCATATGTATAAAAAATTTATTGTAAAATCAATCAAAAATGTAAAAAATATACATCAATTAGCAACTTTTTAAATACCCAGCCAAATTTAACAAAACATATATCGTTTGAAAGCTCTCATTGCAAGGAATCAAATGATGATAAAACCACAAAAATCTAATCATTGGTTGTTTAATTATAATTGTTTTTAATAATTTTTTAAAACAATTATAACTCAACAACCAGTTATTAGATTTTTTCAGTTTTACCATCATTTGATTTCCTGCAATGAAAGCTTTCGAACGGTGTATGTTTCATTAAATTTGGTTAGATCTTTAAAAAGTTGCCAATTGATATATGTTTTTTACTTTTTTAATTGATTTTATAATAAACTTTTTATATATATACATGATGTCAATCATTTATTGGATCATGCATACAGATTTGAATCAAATATTTTGTGATTCCTATTAATAAAATAGTATTTATTTAAGTTTTATTAAAAAAAACTGACATCTTTATAATTATAAAAACTCACTTTTAATTATATTCATTTTGTTAAAAAAATTTTTTTATGATAATTTTAAGTAAAAAAAAATATTTTATACTTTTTATTGCAAGTGAGCTTTAGCTTAAGAACTCAAGAATCTTTAAAACAGCTGATACAGTAGGATAAAATTTTTGATCAAAATTTATTCAAGTTTGGAAGTCTTGTTTATCTTTTGATTATATGAAAAAAGGTCTATAACAATTCTTTGTTTTTTTTTGTTCTCTTACATCTCTTCTTATTTTTATTCAATCATAAAAATCATCCACATCATTATTATTATACTTATTAAAATAAATACTTTTCAAAACATATACTCAAACAGAATTAGTAAGTCTATTGTTTGTTTTAAGTCAATTCATAAATTTTATTTTATTATAATGATATTTATTATACCATTTCAAATTCCTTAATATTTTTTTTTAACCAAAAAACCAAAATCAGCTTATTCCTTACAGATGATCAATACTTTTCAATTATCCAATCAAATTTTACTTAAAAATCAAAACAAAAATCAAACTTGTTCAAATTAATTTTGTATCATAACAATAATCATAACAATAATGTCAATCATATGTTCACTAATAATTATAATAACAAACAACTTCATATATACTTTATTATCTATGGTAATCAAAAAACTGGAGAAATGGGATTATAAGCTTGTCTGAAAACTTTTTTGAGAAAATAATTGATTTTCTACTTATAGATTTTATAATTTATTTAATATAGTTTTAGTTATAGTTACTTTTTTTTTTCCTTCAATCAGGTTGGTGTCATTTATTTATTAAATCAAGATGAACCATTATAAATATAAATTGCATGTATAAATTTCCCCAATCCAGCTTACCCGTCTGTGACAAAGAGTCTCTAGATACGATTTATAGGAATGATACATTACTTGTCCATTAGTTGAAATTAAGATTCTATTTGTTTAATAGAGTCAAAACCTATAGATTATCTTTATAGATCATATGCTATAAACGTTTTAGTTATAGTTACATTTATTTTCTTTTCAATTATTATATATTTAAAAAATTAAAAGATTTCATAAAATTTTCTGAGTTGGTAGATATAGTCACTATTCAGTTTTATCTAGTACTATAATATTGCTTTTGAAATGTTTTACAATATTAGTTAAATAATGTTAAATAGATAAGCTAGCATTAAATTTTTCTGAAATAATGAAAGAGATGTTATTTCTTTCACAATATATACTATATTATATACAATATCAAATAAAGAAATAATATTTATTTATAGGAAAAATCTTCTTAAAAAAATTTAATATCTTTATAAAATTATTATTATATTTTTACAAATTATAATTATATCTCTATATTTTAAAAATTCTATTTAATAAATTAAAATTATTAACTTAAAAAACAAAAATTTGATTGTTTAAATAATATTTATATATAATATTGTTGGCATAAAAATCCAGCGAGTCAGTCGCTTGAGTTTGCCTTATACCATGTAACAATAGGGTGGGTCTTCTCTTTAAAAGAGGCATATGAATTTGGTCCGAGCTGTTAAATAATGATACAGATCTACCAATAGATCCAGCATTACAAGGGAGTTGTAACAGATATAGCAATCCCACAAATATAGTGTATTAGGGTTGTGTAATGAGACAAATGTTCAACAATAGAATAAAATAGGTAAGGAGAAAGTTATACAATACCTATATTGATTGCTCCTCCTTTTTGTCCATACCT